GAGGATACGTGACGAGGATACGTGACGAGGATACTTGACGAGGATACTTGACGAGGATACTTGACGAGGATACGTGACGAGGATACGTGACGAGGATACTTGACGAGGATACTTGACGAGGATACTTGACGAGGATACGTGACGAGGATACGTGACGAGGACACGTGACGAGGATACTTGACGAGGATACGTGACGAGGATACGTGACGAGGATACGTGACGAGGACACGTGACGAGGATACTTGACGAGGATACTTGACGAGGATACTTGACGAGGATACGTGACGAGGATACGTGACGAGGATACGTGACGAGGATACGTGACGAGGATACGTGACGAGGACACGTGACGAGGACACGTGACGAGGATACGTGACGAGGACACGTGACGAGGATACGTGACGAGGATACGTGACGAGGATACGTGACGAGGACACGTGACGAGGATACGTGACGAGGATACGTGACGTGGACACGTGACGAGGATACTTGACGAGGATACTTGACGAGGATACGTGACGAGGATACGTGACGAGGATACTTGACGAGGATACTTGACGAGGATACTTGACGAGGATACGTGACGAGGACACGTGACGAGGACACGTGACGAGGATACGTGACGAGGACACGTGACGAGGATACTTGACGAGGATACGTGACGAGGATACGTAACGAGGATACGTGACGAGGATACGTGACGAGGATACGTGACGAGGATACGTGACGAGGACACGTGACGAGGATACTTGACGAGGATACTTGACGAGGATACGTGACGAGGATACGTGACGAGGATATATAACCACATGTGTCAAGAACAGAAAGTTATGGTTTACTGCAAGAAAGACATATCACACTTCATGGGAGAGAGTAGTGATGCAACACTTAAGTCTGAGACTTGATCAATGCTGCAACTGACATTCCACTCTTAAGAGTGTGTTATTTAGTGCCTGGTGGCCTGGTGGTTAACGCTCTCGCTTCACACGGTGAGGGCCTGGGTTCGATTCCCAGCCAGAGTAGAAACATTGGACGTGTTTCTTTCCACCTGTTGTCTATGTTCCCCATCAGTAAAATGGGTACCTGGGTGTTAGTCGACTGGTGTGGGTCGCATCCTGGGACACTGACCTAAGGAGGCCTGGTCACAGACCGGGCCGCGGGGGCGTTGACCCCCGGAACTCTCTCCAGATAAACTCCAGAAACTCCAGATAGATGTTGCATGAACTACCAGACAATACTGTGTGTGTTAGTCACACAAACAGAAATAATAGGTATTATATAGGGCATTTAATTTAAAAAGACAGGTGAGGAAGCATTAGGACATGTTATTAGGAAACGTTTCGGTCCTGAGACCTTGATCAAGGTCTCAGGACCGAAAATTTTTCTAAAAAATATGTCCTAGTGTTTATTCAAATGTTTAAACCAATTCATCGGTATTAGTTACCAAGGTTAATACTGTTTAAATTAATGTTTACTAAATAGACTGCTGATCCCTCCCACACAGTATTATTCTGTTTTATTCTTGTAAATACTTCTTGTAATAATAGAAAATACAATATTTCTTAGTCACAGATACACGGCAAATACTGAATAGGGCATTTAATGTTTACTGAGTATGTAGATTGGCGATCACTCCCACACACAGTCCCCCACAGTATTACTGTGGGTGGCTCTGGTGAGTGGGTGGGTGAGCTAGGATGAGGATCTGCGTAGGGTGAGCCACCCAGGCAGCAGCGGGCACTTCCTGAGGGCGGGTGAGTGCCCTGGTCAGCGACACACGGAGACGACTGAAGGGCAGTACCAAGAGGTCTGGGTTAACACCTGAAGGAGGGGCGACGAGGGTCAGTCATGAGCTTAGATGGGGAGACGGAGTGATGACAGGGAGATGGGGAGACAGTGATAACAGGGAGATGGGGAGACAGTGATAACAGGGAGATGGGGAGACAGGCGTAAAGGAAAGGCTAGACAGATAAATGGGGAGAGGGGGTAGAAGAGGATAGATAGAAGAGAGCAGTAGAAGACTGACTTCATACGAGAGAATAGGTCGCAAAATCTAGGAACGATTGAGGAGACAAGAGAAGAAAAAAATCCCATGAGTTATTTTGTGTGAGGTTAGCAAAGGGAGAATAAAAGGGAGAATAAACGAGAAGTTAAAAAGGAGGATAAAGGGGAGGATAAATGGGATGATAAAGGGATAAAGGAAGGGATAAAGAAGGGATAAAGGAGAGAATAAAGTGGATGATAAACGAGGGATAAAAGGGAGGATAAAAGAGAGGATAAAGGGTTTACTAGATGCGAAATAAAGCTGGGAAGGAATGGGGAAAGAAGTCAGTAAAGAAGAAAAAGTGGCATGGATGGGAACAATGATAATGTTAGGCCTATCTGCAAATAATCATTATAATGAGAATATTATAACAAAATATCATTACAAAATTAGCATAATATGTTACCCTAGATCTGTAATATTCTGTTGTAACTCAGCAGTTGATAGCGAGGGATCGAACTCGAGGCGAGAAATGACGAACCCTTTCCTGGGTAGAGCCGAGAACTCGTAAACTTTTTTTTTCCTACCGCCGGTTCGATTCCCCGCAACCCGTGTAATCAATTTAAGCAATTTTTGAGCCAGTAAAGACCCATTTGCCATTTCCCCTTTTGGTTGGACCCAGGTAGCAGAGAATTCTTTGAATAAAACGTTTCGCCCATCATTGGCTTTATCAAGTATAAAAGAATGAGTATTGTGCGCCATGAGGTCAGGTTCGGAGAAAGACAGGTTAAATACGAGGTCATAAATTGTGAGATCAAGTCTTGGTGAGGTCAGGTATTGGTGGGAGTCAGGTGAATAAGTTTATTATCCTTACTATATAAATCGTGGGCAATGTGGGCAATTGGTGCAGTCATCATGTACATTCCACTAGGTTAGGTTTGGCAAAGATTGTCGGAGAACAGGGCGTTTCCTGACGCGGGTGTTATTCATATGATAACACGCAGCTGGAGCTTTTGGTCATCTGACCGAGGTCTTCCGCTGGCTTACCCCTCCACCCCTTTAAAAATTATGATATAAGATTTTTACATTCCACTGTTTTTCTTGGTGGTGCTGTCGTTCTGGTGGTGTAGCAATATGCTCTTTCCCAGAACATGACGTGGAAGACTGGCGATGGGCTACGGATGGATTGTTGGTTTAATCCCTTTTGCAGGCATGTTTATGTTCCAGAAGGCGTGTCTGAGGGTCTCTGCCAGTCTCTCCAACGTAAAATCTACCGTAACCACCACACGGTATGCTGTATTATTCCTGCTGTGCAAGTAGTTCTGGGTTTAGGGCGTCTGGTGAAATCCTTTTGGAAGCAGCAGTGATCCACCTCACCAGCAGTGATCCACGTCACCAGAACCAGTGAACAAAACAATGGAATGTACATATTGCCTACACCTATTGCCCACCACATGGGCAATAGGTACCCACCACAAATGCATCGCCACAACTGCATTGCCACAAATGCACTGCCACAAATGCATTGCCATAATTGCATCGCCACATTGCCCACCATATGGTGGGCAATAAGGCGATGCATTTGTTCATTCCTGCGTACTTGATCAAGCCTAACCTCGGGAGAAATGTCGCATTAAAAGGAATCCTCAGCTACCAGTGTCTTGATCGCCGAGTTCTCGAGTTATTAATGAAAATACTGGAGGAAGAAGAGCAGGAAAAACTTCGGTATCCACTCGAAAGTATTCCTTCAGGGATACTTAATGATCGTAGTCCCTTGAATGTGTCTCACTTTTTCTCAAACTCCTCCATCTCTCTTCCTTCCCCTCCCTTTCTTTTTTTTTCTTACACAATGGAATTACAAGGGTACACCAAGCTTTACTGTATTTACAAGCTAAGAACTAACTCACACACTCTCATTCTCTCTCTTTCATTCTCTCTTTCTCTCTCTCTCTCTCTCTCTAATCCCCCACCCTTCCTCCATACTTCCTTCCCCTTATTTTCAAATCTCTCCCACTCTCTCCTTTCCCTTTCCAATTAGCTCTTCCCGTTCCCTCTCTCCGCTAGCTCTCCCAAGATACCTCAGTTAATGACAAGGGAAGGCAGGAGGGGGTCCCTAACTACCACTAACTACCAAACGACCTAAACTTGAACCATCTGGAAGCAGTTGTAGGAAGCGACGTTAGCACCTAACTAGCTAAATACCCTCTGTGATGGGTAGCACAATGGAAAGGATATATACATTGACGTTATGTCTCTGTGTATATACATCAGACGGTCTCTCTGTGTATATACGATGAGAGGTGTATGTCTCACAGCGTATTTATACCGAGAAATGCATGTTCCTCAGCATATATACACCGAGAGGCGTATATCTCTCAGCGAATGCACACTAAGAAGTGCATATTTCTGAACGTATATACAACAAGAGGCGTATATCTCTCAGCGTATATCCACCGGGAGTGCATGTCTTTCGGTGTATATACACCGAGCTTCTAGATAAACTTAGGAGTATTAACACGTTTAGCAAACTTCAAAGACCATTTTGTTTACATCTCAGTTGGATGACACTAACACACACGACTCTGTAAACATGACTTTAGGTCGTAGCTAAATTATCCAGCTTTAATTCTGATGATTTAAAATCATATAATGGCTATTTCAGATGACGTCCGCAATGGCTAATAAATTAAACCTTTACCACAAAAAATGGCCAAATAAATCACAAAGAATGAATAAAAATAAATCAATAAAAACATAAAAATTAAATAAATTTGGAGGAAAGTCCCAGATAGTTTAAAAATAAAATGAGGGTGTTGTATTTAAAAAAAAATTATATATAATATATACATTATATATATATATATATATATATATATATATATATATATATATATATATATATATATATATATATATATATATATATATCGTGCCGAATAGGTAAAACTTGTGATTTTGGCTTGAATAGCAATGCTCTTCTTGCCGAATAAGGCAAGCGAAATTATTGCAAACTTATCTAAATTATATTTAGTTGGCTTCGACTCAATTACATTGGGTTAGTTACAATAAGGTTATTTAAGTTTTCTAAGGTTCTTTTGGTATAAAATTATTAATTTTTACATTAATGTAAATGAAAAAAAATTTATCTTTAGACGTAAAAGAGAAAATTTTAGAAAGGACTTAATTTTAAACGAGTTCTTGCTAATTGACCAATTTTACCTATTCAACATGGCATATATTATTTAAAGATTAATGAAGAAAATCATGAAATACAAAATTTAAATTTAAATACCCAGGTGCACCTGGGTTTAATTCAGGAGTTTGATTCGTTTGTGTTCATGAGTAAGCGATAAATCCGTAGGGGTCATACAACCTGGGGATTAAAAAAATAATGGAACATAAACTATAGTGATGGGGACAAAGAGGCACAATACCGTGAATGGAACAATGCACAATAGGAGAGAGGAGCTTACGAAGACGTTTCGGTCAAACTTGGACCATTTACAAATTCACACCGACTTTTCAAATAGTCCAAGCAGGACCGAAAAGTCGTCGTAATTTCCTCTCTATGTCCGGGTGTGTGTGTATTGTGTAGAGAAGGAAGACTTAGGTTCTCACCAGCTGAGAGAAAGCTTTGTCTCGTGGCGTAGGCGATGTTAGAGCCACAAGCTACAGTGAGGTAGTCACCGTTCCTGTCCACCACCAGTCCTGGCACCTCCTCCTCCTCCAAGGGGTAGTTCTCAAGCTCTTCGGGCGCCTCCTGCAGGAACGGGGCCGCCCAAGGGCCACACCTCGGGGTTAAAATGGTGTCAACTTAATGTGACCCACAAACCTTCAAGAATATTGATCAATATTTGATTGCGTCAACAGTAGTGACCGAGTGTGGGCGATATGGAACGTTTGCGCAATATAGTGATCAAAATTACTTTGATTTTGCTGTTGCTATGAATGAAAAGAGTGAGGTTAAGTTGTGTCAGCATAGGAATGCAAATTGAAGTCAGTAGAAAAGTCAGAGAAGGATTGGGTAGGAAATGTGAAATGTCAGGGTGAGGGAGGAGATACGTAATATCAGAGTGAGGAGAAGCTGTGAGAGATAAATCTGGAATCACCAGTGTGAAACACGAAATCGCTTGAGAAATAATATGTGCTAGAGGAAGAATTAGGGAGCTGCAAATATCTAGCGAAGTCGTAACAATAAAAACGAAAAACTCGCGTAATAGAGAAGCTATGAAGCAAGATGGCGTTAAAAAGATGGAGTAATGGAGTAAATAGTTAAAAATGGTAAAAAAAACAGAAGCTCAGACAAAATAATAGATGAAAATTGCGACAAATAAAGGAGTAACAAGCGGTTTAAAGGGAATATTTACAAGTGTTATAAACTACAGGTGTCCCGAGTTGGTACTCCCGTAGTTGTAACACTGTTGTGTGTATATCTGTAGTAAACGATAACTTGGGGCCTCCTACGAGTGCAACATCCTGTGTTACAAAGGTTAAGAATGTGTCAAGGTGGAGATAGAGAGTCATTGACTAACTTAGCTGTGGTACGGCTTTCTAGGTTATCATTACATAATGGGTATCGTACGCTAAAATGTATGACAGGTCAATTATGTTCAGATATTTTCCAGAATTATAAAAAATGAAGAGGAGGAGGAAGATGAAGAGAATAAAAGGAATAAATGAATGCAAACTTTCAAGAAATCTCGTGAGATTACTATGATGACCAGAAAGGTTAAGGCACAAACGGAACGAGAGAGAGAGAGAGAGAGAGAGAGAGAGAGAGAGAGAGAGAGAGAGAGAGAGAGAGAGAGAGAGAGAGAGAGAGAGAGAGAGAGAGAGAGAGAGAGAGAGAGAGGACTCAGAAAGAAGAAAGCAGCAAAGAGGCAAATGAAAAAAAGACCGATAAACAGAATAGCATTGAAAGGAAGAGCAGAAAGATCAGCAGACATTCAGGTCCGTCCCACACAAGATCATACAACAACCTCTGGCAATAACTTGCGTCACTACTTTTCACAACAGAAACAAGTGTGTAGCTTCATCAGTCCCCCACCATCCCCCCTCCCCCCCCCGCACAGCATTTGTAACGTTACACACACATTATGGTGGATGGTTAAAGACATGTGCAGCTGCGGGGTATCTTGATGGCTGAAATATTTCGCCTACATAGTAGGCTTCTTGAGTTAATACAGAGGCAGCAGATGTAGCAGTGAAGTGGTGATGCAATCAGTCCGTCAATCTTGGAGAAATAGTACTTGAGGTGGTCAGTCCCTCAGTCTGGAGAAGAGTTCAGCTCCATGGAGCTCAAATCTTCTCCAGGCTGAAGGTTAGGTTATGTAAGGTTTGTCAGGAAATAGGACAAGTTTTTCCTGACGCGGGTCTTAGCCATGTGATGACCCACAGCTGGAGCTTTTGGTTATCTGACTGACGCCTTCCGCTGGCTTACTGGTCCACCCCTTTAAAATTATTAGGGCTTTAAGTGTATCTTTCTAGGCTGAAGGACTCATAAATCTCCATCTCACTACTACACCTGCTGCCTCTGTATTTGACTGACGAAGCCTACTGTGTAGGCGAAACATTTCAACAATGAAGATACTCAACTGTTGCACATATGTCTTAATCATCAACTTATCGGTGTTTTATACCATTTTCAAGACAATATATCACAAGGGCAGGCCACAACACTGACACACTACAATCAACACTCACCCTTCCTTCATCCCAGAGCTTGATCGCGTAGTCATAGGGACCGTTCGGGCACTTCAAGATATAACCCTTGAACTCATACCCTTCTTCCAAGGTGAACTTTCCTCCTCGTTTCTGGGCACTGTCATGGGTACCTCTCGTACTCGCTGTCTTCTTGTCCTCACTGGTAGTAGCTGCTGAGACATCCCCTCCCACACAGTCTTCCTTCTCGCTGCTTCCTTTGCTGCTGATTCTTGCCGTCTCCTGTCCTTCCTTATTTTTTCTTTCTGGTTCGATTTTCTGGGTTATGGCTGTTTCCTTCAGAGTCTTTGACTGAAGTTCTGACGTAATATCACCACGCTCTGAAGGTCTGAACTTGCTCTCTGATGCTATTGTTCCACTCTCTGTAGCTTCTGATGTTACCGTTCCACTCTCTCTGGCTTCTGATGCTATTGTTTCACTCTCTGTGGCTTCTGATGCTATTGTTCCACTCTCTGTGGCAGCTGATGCTATTGTTCCACTCTCTGTGGCTTTTGGTGCTCTTGTTCCACTCTCTGTGACTTCTGATATTATTGTTCCACTCTCTGTGGCTTCTGATGTTATTGTTCCACTCTCTGTGGCTTCTGATGTTATTGTTCCACTTTCTGTGGCTTCTGATGCTATTGTTCCGTTCTCTGTGGCTTCTGATGCTATTGTTCCGTTCTCTGTGGCTTTTGGTGCTATTGATCCACTCTCTGTGGCTTCTGATATTATTATTCCACTCTCTGTGGCTTCTGATGTTATTGTTCCACTCTCTGTGGCTTTTGATATTATTGTTCCACTCTCTGTGACTTCTGATGCTATTGTTCCACTCTCTGTGGCAGCTGATGCTATTGTTCCACTCTCTGTGGCTTCTGATGCTATTGTTCCACTCTCTGTGGCTTCTGATGCTATTGTTTCACTCTCTGTGGCTTCTGATGCTATTGTTCCATTCTCTGTGGCTTCTGATGCTATTGTTCCACTCTCTGTGGCCTCTGATGCTATTGTTCCACTCTCTGTGGCCTCTGATGCTATTGTTCCACTCTCTGTGGCCTCTGATGCTATTGTTCCACTCTCTGTGGCCTCTGATGCTATTGTTCCACTCTCTGTGGCCTCTGATGCTATTGTTCCACTCTCTGTGGCCTCTGATGCTATTGTTCCACTCTCTGTGGCCTCTGATGCTGTTGTTTCACTCTCTGTGGCCTCTGATGCTATTGTTCCACTCTCTGTGGCTTCTAATGCTATTGTTCCACTCTCTGTGGCTTCTGATGCTATTGTTCTACTCTCTGTGGCCTCTGATGCTATTGTTCCACTCTCTGTGGCTTCTGATGCTATTGTTCCACTCTCTGTGGCTTCTGATGCTATTGTTTCACTCTCTGTGGCTTCTGATGCTATTGTTCCATTCTCTGTGGCTTCTGATGCTATTGTTCCACTCTCTGTGGCCTCTGATGCTATTGTTCCACTCTCTGTGGCCTCTGATGCTATTGTTCCACTCTCTGTGGCCTCTGATGCTATTGTTCCACTCTCTGTGGCCTCTGATGCTATTGTTCCACTCTCTGTGGCCTCTGATGCTATTGTTCCACTCTCTGTGGCCTCTGATGCTATTGTTCCACTCTCTGTGGCCTCTGATGCTGTTGTTTCACTCTCTGTGGCCTCTGATGCTATTGTTCCACTCTCTGTGGCTTCTAATGCTATTGTTCCACTCTCTGTGGCTTCTGATGCTATTGTTCTACTCTCTGTGGCCTCTGATGCTATTGTTCCACTCTCTGTGGCTTCTGATGCTATTGTTCCACTCTCTGTGGCTTCTGATGCTATTGTTCTACTCTCTGTGGCCTCTGATGCTATTGTTCCACTCTCTGTGGCTTCTGATGCTATTGTTCCACTCTCTGTGGCCTCTGATGCTATTGTTCCACTCTCTGTGGCCTCTGATGCTATTGTTCCACTCTCTGTGGCCTCTGATGCTATTGTTCCACTCTCTGTGGCCTCTGATGCTATTGTTCCACTCTCTGTGGCTTCTAATGCTATTGTTCCATACTCTGTGGCTTCTGATGCTATTGTTCCACTCTCTGTGGCCTCTGATGCTATTGTTCCACTCTCTGTGGCTTCTGATGCTATTGTTCCACTCTCTGTGGCTTCTGATGCTATTGTTCCACTCTCTGTGGCTTCTGATGCTTTTGTTCCACACTCTGTGGCCTCTGATGCTATTGTTCCACTCTCTGTGGCTTCTGATACGCTGACTGATGCTCTGACAATGCTCTCTATAGCATTTGATTCGCTAGCTGATGCTTTGATTTCGCTCTTTGAGGCTTCGACTCCACCCTCAGTGGCCTTTGATTCTCTTTCTGACATCCTGATCCTATCGTCGGAAGACGTAGACTTGAGCTTTTGTTTCTTAGCGCCATCTCTTGAAAACTTTGATTCGCTCTCAGAGGTTCTGATCCCATATCTTGAGGGTTTCGGATCACTTTCAGAAGTTCTAGCCATACCAGCACTTTCAGAGGTTCTGATCCTATTTCTTTTGGGCTTCGAATCACTTTCAGAGGTTCTGGTCTTACTATAACTTTTTGAAGCCTTTGATTCACTCTCAGATGTTCTGATTCCAATTTTTGAGGGCTTCGATTCGCTCTCTGAAATATTTCCTTTATCTCCTGCAACTTTTCTTTCACACTCTGATGTTCGTGTCCCATTTCTCGACGTCTTAGAATCGCTTTCAAAGGTTCGAGTCTTCCCTCTTGAAGCCTTTGTTTCACTTTCAGACGTTCGTGTCTTCCCTTTTGAAGCCTTTGTTTCACTTTCAGACGTTCGTGTCTTCCCTTTTGAAGCCTTTGTTTCACTTTCAGACGTTCGTGTCTTACCTTTCGAAGCCTTTGCTTCACTTTCAGACGTTCGTGTCTTCCCTTTCGAAGCCTTTGCTTCACTTTCAGACGTTCGTGTCTTCCCTTTCGAAGCCTTTGCTTCACTTTCAGACGTTCGTGTCTTCCCTTTCGAAGCCTTTGCTTCACTTTCAGACGTTCGTGTCTTCCCTTTCGAAGCCTTTGCTTCACTTTCAGACGTTCGTGTCTTCCCTTTCGAAGCCTTTGCTTCACTTTCAGACGTTCGTGTCTTCCCTTTCGAAGCCTTTGCTTCACTTTCAGACGTTCGTGTCTTCCCTTTCGAACCCTTTGCTTCACTCTCTGATGTTCTTGCTTTACTTTTTGAAGTCTTCGAGTCACGTTCTGAAGTTCGGGTTCCGCCTCTCGCCTCTCTGGCGGCCTCACGAGCCTTGATCCTCACTAAGTTACAGCGGCGTATGTAGATACAGGAGTCAACCGCCAACAGCTGTTTTCGGGAGGTGGATCTGGAGGAAGAGGTGCGGGATGTAAAGGAGTGAGAGGTGTAGAGGCGACAAGCTGGAAAGGAGCAGGAAGCGAGAAAGAAAAGGTGCTAGTTTCTTGTGCTCCTCAAATCCATCCTATGGACGGTAGTGCAAGAACATTTGGATGCACTGTAGGCCTAGGAAATAGGTCCTGAGAGGGTTAACAGGGGTAGATTTTGGATTTATATCTACAACTGTCTTATCTGTTCAAAGCAGAAGTTTGGAGGAGGAAGGAATGACTTAAAGAACGCAGGGACCAAATAATCATTCTGAAATCTATTACATATATATAACGCTGCTACACTCTATTAAATACACGGACACGGTAGTTACACCGTCAGTGATTAAACTCAGCCACACTTACATCAGGCACTAAATGTTAAACAGAACAAAAAGGCACAATACCGTGACTGGAACAATACACAGATAACCTGTACATAAGAGAGAAGCTTATGACGACGTTTCGGTCCAACTTGGACCATTTACGAAGTTAAAATATTGCCAGTTAATAAAAACTTTAATACAGTTAACTGAAACAGCGTCCTGGAGGGTAAACTTGCAGACAGACGTTTAAAATATGTCACAGCCAACTGCGTACCCCAAGCTGCACTGAGAGGAGCATGATCCCCATAGACACAGGAGACAGTGAAAGAGGTAGGTAAGTATGTGTGTTTGTGTTTGTGTTTTCCCTAGTCTCAACCTCGGTATTATGCAGGATACTGCATTGTAATAATGTTTATATAATATAGTGTTTGTATTATGGGGAGAAAAGCTCAATAAAAATAGCTTTAGTACTTAAGCGGACGCGTATTGTATGGTAGGTGGACGCTGAGATATCTTCGTAACACGTCCTGCAGAGTCTATATCGTTTGCTGCTCCTCTGTCGAGTTCACTGAGCCTTCAGCATCCCAGGGACAATCTGATGATTGTAGCGCTCAAAGTCATAAGGGAAGAGTGTGCTATGGATCACATTTGGTACATCAGTTTTCACCTCTGTATCTACCGTTTTATTTACACGGGACACAGACCTGGCCCAGAGATGGACCTGGCCCAGGACACAGACCTGGCCCAGACACAGACCTGGCCCAGACACAGACCTGGCCCAGACACAGACCTGGCCCAGGACACAGACCTGGCCCAGACACACACCTGGCCCAGGACACAGACCTGGCCCAGGACAAAGACCTGCCCAGGACAAAGACCTGGCCCAGGACAAAGACCTGGCCCAGGACATAGACCTGGCCCAGGACACAGACCCGGCCCAGGACAAAGACCTGGCCCAGGACAAAGACCTGGCCCAGGACAAAGACCTGGCCCAGGACAAAGACCTGGCCCAGGACAAAGACCTGGCCCGGACACAAACAAAACTCACGAGTCTTCACGCTAGGTGAGAAGACACGTCAGTCACTCTGGAATCACTTTATGGAATCGTTTATGACACGAGTGTGCAGAGAACTCTGAATACAAGTAAACTGCGAATAAGATTCCACTGTGGCCAGCATCCTGGATGAGAGATGCGAGGATGAGATAATACCAGTGACATTTTTATGCTGACCTGGAGCGTTTCGAGTGGCTCGGTTGGCAGTACAGTCAGCACACGCACTGAATGTCCGCGTTTCGATCCCTGGCACGGATGGAAACGTTGGGCACGTTTCCTCACACCAGCTCCTTGCCACCTAACAGTAAGCAGGTGGCATCCAGGGGATGATAGCACATCTTAAGATATAGCTATGCTTTGAAAATAAGCTGAAGTAGTGAAACAGTTCTTAGCTTGTAAAACTGATGTGTAAAAAAAAAAATCAAAATTTATTCTTGCTTACTTTGATCCTTCACTAACGATGTTTTACCATCAAGGATCAAGATGATCACCATACCTCGGCGCTTATAACTTCCCATCCACTACTGGCTAGCATTTTTCATCAAGCAAGAAAGGCAGGGAGAGAATTTGATCTTCCAAGCTGCAAATTTAATTTACTCTCCAGGATAGATGAGGGCTGGGTCAGCCCCGTCTGATAAGCAGAGGTTCTCTTCCCTCTCATTTGCAAAAAAAGTAGTGCAAGAGAGAATGTTCATTGAGTCTAAGCCTTAAACTTTCACCGGGTTCGTTGTTTCCTTCCTGTCAGGTATTCTCTGGTCCATTGCAGCTCTATTCCTGCCTGTTTCTGTAGCTTTTGTACCAATCTCTTATGCGGTACTGTGTCGAAAGCCTTCTTTGCGGTCCAAGAAAATTCAATCTACCTTAAACAGGTGAGTGGACACCCAGCTCCTCACTGAAGAGATCTAGAACGACGTCTCCAGAATCACTTAAAGATCCTGAGAACAGGACACACTAAATGTGCCAGCGCAAAGCTATAACTCCAGGAGAACGCGACCAAATAAATACAGAAACGAAGGTTGTAGCCATATTTATGCCTGGAATAGCACTAGACTGCATGCAGCTGGAACCTGAACCACTAATTTATTCTACAGGTGGGGTGAGAGTACCTTTAATACAACCAGTGACAACAGTAAGTCCATTTTAAACTTCTTCCAATGGGAAATCCATGTTTGAGCCTTGTGTGTGCACTCCCCCACCCACTCACACTTCCTTCTCCCCCCTCTCCCCCTCCACACACACCTTTGCCATCCTTTCCCCAAGCACACACACACTCACCTGCACGTGTCATTGAGATGGTCTGAGGGACTGTAGTCGAAGATGTGAATGACAGGGTCGTCCACTAGTGCTCCTTCCACCTCCAGTGTACCTTTGTAGAGAGGCATCCTCACGCTGACGCTACCAGAGGTATATATAAAGTCTACATTTACAAATTGTCTGAGAAGAGACTGTGACAAAGAAAATACGATGAATATGAAAAAAAAAATTAATGCGAATTTGAATTACTGGGTTATTAGGAAATACTTTTCATTTACAACGAATTTAGGGGCTAAAGATGATTCTACTTTTCTTTATTTTAAAGCTTAACAAATTTTGGCACTGACAACAGTCCGATAGCGCCCAGGCATCTCTCCTGTACTGCTGAAGATGACCTCGGATGGAGATCGGAATATACAGTTTCTTTCTGCACTGTTTCCGCTTTTATGTGAGTTTCCTCAGTTCGCTGGCAACAGATGTACGGAGAACTTTCTATACGTCTCCACCCATAGTCACAGTCTTAAGCGGATTGAATTGTGAGATACAGAACGAGATATGCGAGTTCAAAAATTATACTAGATCGCTAGTTACATTTAGTGAGTAATAAGGTTATGGTGATAGTTATGGCGTCATTGAGGCGTGTGGGGGAAGTTAGGGAGGAGAGACACCAGTGTTGGTACTGAAGAGGCGGCGTCTGGGGGAAGTTAGCAAGGAGACTACAGTGTTGGTAGTGAAGAGGCAGCGTCTGGGGGAAGTTAGGGAGGAGACACACCAGTGTTGGTATTGTAGAAGCTGAATCCTTAAAAAACAGATCTCGTAACAACGTTTCAATTACAGTTGTGTGTTGTAGATAGTGGAAATACTTGATATCACCAGCCTCTTGTTATCGCCTGTACCCAGGGTTGATGCGGCGATAAGACTACTCCACACAATAATGATAAAGAAGCATTCAAAGGTACCTAAACTGCACTTGTTGGATTTAAACTTCCAAGAAACTTCAGTGATAACATGGCACAAATAATTAGCATTAATCCCGATACAGTGCGAGGTAAAGAAACGAGTACAACACTTTGGATATATTTAATATTTTACCCACTGGAGACTTTTTTTTTTTTAATCCAATGGATTAAAAGGCTCGCTGAGCCTCGATTCTGTGGTCTGACAATCGTCAGAGATCCAGCCCAGTATTCTCAGGTTCCCGGTCCAACAAACCAGTGTTGGCATACATACATATATACATACATACATGAATAATTAAAGCATAATGAGCACTTATCAATGTTCAATAATAGCCCATATGGAGGCAGACAATCAAAAGATTCGATCCCCTTCTAAAGGACCCCAGTGGAAATAAGTCACTTTGGCTTATTTCCACTGCTGCTATGTATGATAATCTAACTGTATTTGTGTATACATGAATAAACTTGCTTATTTTGGGATCCTCTATGTACATATCTACATATGCGCAGGATCCGAAGGGAATAGACCAGCCAAAAAAACTTTGGCACGCTTTATTTGATTCGTTCTGTTTTATTCAATAAACCACGGAATGGATGGGGGTTGCACCCATGGCGAGTGAGTTCTAAAATTCAGAGTCCAGAGCGTTAACCACTACGGTGGAACCGTGAATGCACAAGTCAACAAATCATTGCTGCAGCAGCAACCACACCTACGTCGTTCAGCAAGAAACGTACTGAAATGACCGTGGCTGGCATCATCCTTACAGCAGGTAGAGCAGTCAGCGTTTAGACCACCTTAGAGCGCTGGGGACGGCAGTGTTCAGACCACCTTAGAGCGCTGGGGACGGCAGTGTTCAGACCACCTTAGAGCGCTGGGGACGGCAGTGTTCAGACCACCTCAGAGCGCTGGGGACGACAGAGCACTGTTAAGGTTGATGAATGGCAGCTGCACAGTCTCTGCAGCGGGTATATTACCTTTCTTTCAAGATTAAAGAGAACTGAATGATGCAAATAAAATGAGTTATTTTTTATTTTGCTTATCTGTTGTTCCCTTCGGACACTTGGACATATGTTAAATCTCACGAGGCCATATGCCGTTTATTTGTGCGCTTTTAACCACGTATTTCGAATGATCCAAGTTTACAGTAATTTTCACAATCAAACGTTGTTGTTATAACTTAAGTAATGATCCTCGTATATTTGTGTTATATTACACACACATACACAAATATCCACATACGCACACACACACTCATCTTCCAGAGATGGAACACGGTAACAAGGAGTCGCAAATGGAAGTTGAAGACTCAGATGAGTCACAGGGATGTTAGGAAGCATTTCTTCAGTCACAGAGTTGTCAGGAAGTGGAATAGTCTGGGAAGTGATGTAGTGGAGGAAGGACCCATACATGGCTTTAAGAAGAGGTATGATAAAGCTCATGCAGCAGGAAGAGTAACCTAGTAGCTACAAGTGAAGAGGCGGGGCCAGGAGCTACGAATCGACCCCTGCAACCACAATTAAGTAAGTACAATTAGGCGAGTGTACACACGCGCGCGCGCACTCACACACAAAATCTACAATGTAATTTTAATTTGACTTAATTAACCATACATTTCGTTTATTAAATCTGTGAAACGTTGGCATCAGAAACAGTATTATTCTTTACTAGACAAAGCCATTTCTTCAAACTGTTCTTAGCAAAGAACAGTTTGAAGAACTGTTCCGTCCACAGAAGGGGCCGTCCCTCATCCAGGCACTGGCCAAACCGGAGTGTGCTTAACCTGACAGCAGCGTCAACAATCCTTACGTACGTGCCTCCCTCCTATCCCCTTTACCACTCTTTACTACACCATGGCGCACACTCCCAACACAGACATGTAAAGACTCTCTAATGATCGCAACGCCAGAGTGACCTCTGACTTTCAACAATAAAAATGTTTTGGTTTTTCTTTGGGGCTTATTGTAATGAAACTGACCATTAGGTATTACAATGGCCCCGAGGGAGAGGGTGGGATGCTTTCATGATTAAATGTTACCTGCTGATGGCCTTTGTGAGTGGGAGTGTGTCATTACGTGTATTTGGCCTTTGTATGAGTGGAATGCTACATAGTATATGTATTGTGAGTAGGACAGTTTAAAGTAGGTGGGTGGACTTCAAATTCCAAGCCAATTATGAGGGATGTCTCTCCTATTAAATACCTATCATCTGTTATCTATAATTTTAGAGGTAAGGATAACAATTCTGATCCTGCCTAAACTACTCAAGTTGCTCCATTGCCACCCATAATCCTGTGGATTGATGCTTCTGCTTTTCTTCTGCTTTCAGTTTCACTGAGACTAAGACACTGAGAATCAGTTTCCAGACTGAGGGACCGATTACCTCATCTTCCACGGCTTGTGGGTACAGCTATGCAAAACTGAGGGGACGACTGATTACCTTATCTCACACTGGTTTTACATATCTCTGTGTTGAGTTGAAAACACCAATGGGTATACCTAGAGAGGGTTTCGGGGGTCAACGCCCCCGCGGCTCGGTCTGAGACCAGGCCTCGGTGGTCTTCAAAAAAAAGCACCCAAGTATTTCACATGAATCGAATTCTTTTCTTTCAGGTTGTACCTCAGCAAACTGAGGTACAGGTGGACGTGTAACAATCTTATGTCTTGAGCAGCTTAGAAGTGAGTACCAGGATACCTCGTGACACTGTTGTGGCTACCACAACTACCGCCACTATTTCCCCTACCTCTACCGGGATGAGTATTGTTCCCTCGGTAGTGAGCGAAACGTTGCCACAATAAAATATCACATTAGTTGCATCTGTCTCCAATTTCCTAACAACCTAGCATTCTGGTGGCTGTGCTGCTCACAGATTCCGATTGATATTAATAATAATAATAATAATAATAATAATAATAATAATAATAATAATAATAATAATAATAATAATAATATTATCTTTGTTTCTACAAGTGCATGTACAAAACCATAGATGACATCAATGACATACTATTATATAGAAAGCCCAACTCTATAGACACCACCAACACGTTGTTGGGGTGCATTCTTTATCAGGATGCTTCTAACAGTCCGTGAAGTTGCAAAGGTTCCAGCCTCTCCTATTTGGGACAAACTGGAAAGTCATTGGAGGTGAGAATGTACCAGCACTGCTATTCCATACGTATACCACAGGAGTCGAACGAGATTTTCAACCATATTAGAGCCTGTAATGACCTTGCAAATTGGCTGGAAGCGAGAATCATCTTTCCTTGTTCCTCCTGGCTTGAAAGGAATATTGTAGAATCGGCAATTATTAAGTATGATAGGCAGTCATTATACAATATCAGTGATGGGCTGTTCAAATTAGATGCGTTTTTAGTTGAAGCAATATTACACAGTTTAAAATTGGGCTTTTATATGAATGCATCGCCGAGGAATTAATGCCTTTTTTCCTGCAGTTTCTGAAGGTTGAGCCAGAGTTTGCCTCAGAATTATGTGGGATGAATATCGGTGGCCATCTTCTTATTGCAAATGCCTCCCCCCCCCCATATGTTAATGAGCCCTGTTTCCTGTTAATTAACTTTTAGAAGTCTTCCCTCTATATGCTAGGGTTTTCTCTCTTCATTTAAAGAACACGTTTCCTGTGGAGGGCACAATATAATTGCCAGTGACTTCTGTGTCACAGACAATATATTTATATACGCATTTAAAGTTGTTGTCATAGCGGAATATTATTGACACGTTAATTTAGTTTAGGTTACAATATCAATGCTCGTGGGATTTTTCTAATGCTATAATATTCATCCTTCTGGCTGTTGTGCCTGTGGGCACTTCCGGTACCCTCTCCTCTCTCCCTCCCTTTCTCGCTCACTCTAGTGAAGGTCCTCTGGGGAACGTATCTGCGTGGAAACTCTCCTCTTTTCTGCAATTTTGCAAGTTCCTGATGATGTGTTGATTGCAACACGAAATGCCTAGAGCTGTCATTCTACTCCCCCCGTGGTTGTTTTGCATCTTGTATCGCTTGGTTTGCGAAATTTGATTAATATATATATATATATATATATATATATATATATATATATATATATATATATATATATATATATATATATATATATAAATATATACAGTCATGGTAATGGACTCGTGAAATCGTAATAACACGATTACAAGCAAAATCACAAAACGGATGTGGTTTTGAAACCATGGCTGGCCTTGCCTGGCATGTCTAGTCTCGGACTGGGGTACTCCATCTAGGCTGGTCAGCCTAGCCACCACAGCCTTGGAGGCTGAAACAGCGGCTTCATTCGCAATAACACTTTTGCAAACCGATCACGGCCGAATGGTTAGCGCACTGGTCTGAGTTTTGGGACTCACTCGCCGTGGGCTCAAACCCCAACCGTTCTCTGATTTATTTATCAGTTTCCGGTATAAGTTAATTATCAGATATTCCATGCACAAAGGCTCATGAACCCCCATAACACATGTGCTCAGACATACATGTGAGTCAATAACAGTGTAGACTCACGAAAGATCTTAAATACTCATAACACCTGAACCCTGAAACACGCGAGCTGTTTGGAGGGCGCGTCATTCACAGAACACATGCACGTAACAGCCCTCAGACACCTGTGCCAGGAAACAGGAACACGGGGGCAGCACTTTTCGACAGACTTTAGCAACGCCAAATTAGGTAATTCTATTTAGCAGAGAACTTGACGAGGCTAGACGAGTAAAAAACGAGCTCTGGCATAGGTAAACTGAGAAGTAAACTAGCAACAGGATAGATAGTTTACACATAGGTGAACTTACAACGGGATAAAAGGTTTAGACACGGGTTAACTTGCAAAAGGAAAATAAACAGAGGCAGGTGGATAACGGGTTCCGGGATGGGTAAATTCACAACAGGCGAGGGAGAGCGAAACAGGTCAACGGGCTCTACCACAGGTAAACCCACAACACGTAAAGGAGACAGACAGTTCAACAGGGTTTAGCACAGACCGGCTAACAAGACAGACAAACAGATCAACACAAGCACAACCCAACTCACAACAGGCAAAGAAGAATCGAAAACAGGGGAAACACGGGGAGAAACTGCGCAGCTCCTGGTGCACCAGACTGACAGACTGACAGACTGGCTGGAGAGAGACAATCACCTCCCACCATCAACACTTATCTTCTGATAACATTCACCTCTGCCTCCCACCACGTGGACTGAAGCAACCCATAACTACAGCCACATTTTTAAACGTGGGAAAACGCACGTTTGAGATCTTTACAATAAGCCATCTGGCTGTTAGACATAAGTCACTCCTCTTATTTTTCGTTGTTGGGAATTTATTATATATATATATATATATATATATATATATATATATATATATATATATATATATATATATATATATATATATATATATATATATATATATATATATATTAGGGATGGGCCGAAGTATCGACCATTTCTTTGGTATCGGATTAAGTACAGTCAGTACAGCCGACACTTAAAACATTAATATTATGTCTGTTTATAAAAAAATCAGCATTAGCACTTTTCCTCACGATTGTGAGACACACACACACACACACACACACACACACACACACACACACACACACACACACACACACACAGAACGAGTCCTTGGTTCACTCAAAAGTGTAGGGAGGCAAAAACTAGGTATACTAGAGAATGGAAAAGGTACAGAAGACAGAGAACTCAGGAAAATAGAGAGATTAGCCGAAGAGCCAGAAACGAATATGCACAGATAAGAAGGGAGGCTCAGCGACAATATAAAAATGACATAGCATCGAAAGTCAAGACAGACCCGAAGCTGTTGTACAGCCACATCAGGAGGAAAACAACAGTCAAGGCCCAGGTAATCAGACTGAGGAAGGGTGATGGGGAATTCACAAGAAACGACCGACAGGTATGTCAGGAGCTCAACACGAGATTTAAAGAAGTATTTACAGTGGAAACCAGTAGGACGCCAGGAAATCAGAACAGGGGGATACACCAGCAAGTGCTGGATGAGGTACATATAACCAAGGAGGAGGTGAAGAAGCTGCTATGCGAACTTGACACCTCAAAGGCGGTGGGACCAGACATCTCTCCGTGGGTCCTTAAAGAGGGAGCAGAGATATTGTGTGTGCCATTAACAAAGATCTTCAACACATCATTTGAAACTGGGCAACTCCCTGAGGTATGGAAGATGGCAAATGTAGTCCCAATTTTTAAAAAGGGAGACAGACATGAGGCACTAAGCTACAGACCTGTATCACTAACGTGTATAGTATGCAAGGTCATGGAGAAGATCATCAGGAGGAGAGTGGTGGAGCACCTGGAAAGAAACAAGTGTATAATTGACAACCAGCACGGTTTCAGGGAAGGAAAATCCTGTGTCACAAACCTACTAGAGTTTTATGACAAGGTGACAGAAGTAAGACAAAAGAGAGAGAGGGGTGGATCGACTGCATTTTTTTGGACTGCAAGGCCTTCGACACAGTTCCTCACAAGAGGTTACTGCAAAAGCTAGAGGATCAGGCACACATAACAGGAAAGGCACTGCAATGGATCAGAGAATACCTGACAGGGAGGCAACAACGAGTCATGGTACGTGACGAGGTGTCAGAGTGGGCGCCTGTGACAAGCGGGATTCCACAGGGGTCAGTCCTAGGACCTGTGCTGTTCTTGGTATATGTGAACGACATAACGGAAGGGATAGACTCAGAAGTGTCCTTGTTTGCAGATGATGTGAAGTTAATGAGAAGAATCAAATCGGATGAGGATCAGGCAGGACTACAAAGAGACCTGGACAGGCTACAAGCCTGGTCCAGCAACTGGCTCCTTGAGTTTAACCCTGCCAAATGCAAAGCTATGAAGATTGGGGAAGGGCAAAGAAGACCGCAGACACAATATAGTTTAGATGGCCAAAGACTGCAAATCTCACTCAAGGAAAAAGATCTGGGGGTGAGTATAACACCGAGCATATCTCCTGAGGCGCACATTAATCAGATAACTGCTGCAGCATACGGGCGCCTGGCAAACCTACGGATAGCGTTCCGATACCTCAGTAAGGATTCGTTCAAGACTCTGTATACCATTTACGTCAGGCCCATACTGGAGTATGCAGCACCAGTTTGGAATCCACACCTAGTCAAGCACGTCAAGAAATTAGAGAAAGTGCAAAAGTTTGCAACAAGACTAGTCCCAGAGCTACGGGGATTGTCCTACGAAGAAAGGTTGAGGGAAATAGGCCTGACGACACTGGAGGACAGGAGGGTCAGGGGAGACATGATAACGACATATAAAATACTGTGCGGAATAGACAAGGTGGGCAAAGACGGGATGTTCCAGAGAAGGGACACAGACACAAGAGGTCACAATTGGAAGTTGAAGACTCAGATGAATCAAAGTGATGTTAGGAAGTATTTCTTCAGTCATAGAGTAGTCAGGCCGTGGAATAGCCTAGAAAGTGACATAGTGGAGGCGGGAACCATACAGAGTTTTAAGGCGAGGTAAGATAAAGCTCATGGGGCAGGGAGAGAGAGGACCTAGTAGCAATCAGCGAAGAGGCGGGGCCAGGAGCTATGACTCGACCCCTGCAACCACAAATAGGTAAGTACAAATAGGTGAGTGTACACACGCACACACATGCACACACACACACACACGCACGCGCACACACACACGCACACAAACACACGCACACACGCGCACACACACGCACAAACACACACACGCACACACACGCACACACGCACACACGCACACGCACACACACACATACACACACACGCGCACGCACACACACACACACACAGAAAGACGGAGAGGTGGGGCACACCACCAAGTGCTGGACACAGTGCACACAA